GCCTCTGGCTGCTTCCAGAAACCAGAGGGAGGACCCCTTCTTTGCTGCCGCATCCATGGCAAGGTACTCACCTGGCTCAGGACATCTGCCCATTGTCTTTAATGAGCCTCACAGGCCACCATCCTCCCCCAGCTCCTCTCTGTGGCAGCAATGACTACCACATCTCTCAACTGTACTAAAACCAAATCAAAATGCATCAAACACCTAGATATAAAAACAGAAACACTGAAACTGCTGGAAGATAAAGTAAGGCAAACATTGGAAGACCCAGGCATAAGCAAGGACTTCCTAAACAGAACTCTGGTAGCACAAGAAATAAAACAAAAACTCTACAAATGAGATTAAATTAAATTAAAAATATGCACAGTAAAAATCAACTATGAACAGAGTGAAGGAACAACCTCCAGAATAGGAAAAAAAATTGACAGCTATTTTTCTGATAGAGGCTTAATATCTAGAATATATGATGAATTCAAGCTGATTATACCCCCAAAATGAGAGATCCTATCAAAAATGCACAAATTATATTAATAGATACTTCTCAAAAGAAGCAAAAATGGCTAATAATTACATATGAAAAATTTTCAATATCTTTAGCCATTATAGAAATGCAAATAAAAATGATTTCTGTATTTTGATTCTGCCTTTCCTTATGGGTCTCTTTACGTGTAAGAGGCAGCTTATAGCCATTAGGCATGACTCTGCCTGATGGGCTTTACTCACTGTAGAAGCCTCCTGTTCTTAATATAAGGACAGTTGGAAATGACAGCGGATTATATTATCCCTGAAATAAGTCCTTTAACATGGCAGGTCAGTTAGTGGTATGTACGCCAGCTTTTTCCTGCTATGCCTGGGATGAATCCAAGGTGAGTGAATTCTACATAGGCATCTCCTGTGAATACACTCCACCTGTCCACTGTGGTAACTTGTGAGATCACTCCCTCCCAACTGACTGCTTCATACCCCTACCAGTGCTGCTTGGCCTTCTCTTTCAAGCCAACAGTTTGTAAACACAGGATTGTAGCAGGGTCTACTTCTAAGAACCTACACTTGGACACCACGTGCCTCAATGCACCCTCACACTAGAGTGTGTGGCTGGAAGTAGATTCAGATGCTCAAGGTCATTCAGTACCAACACTTCAGAGATAGGCTTTTCACCATTCTTTTTATCCTGTACCTTTCTACCTGGTCATCCTCTATTTCCTGTTTTTCTCTGTTGATGAAGTATGTCTGCAATACAGAGATGTACAGTTAGCTGCAATAGAAATACCTGTATACATATCTCTCAGCTAAGGAAATCTAACTTGAAGCAAAAAGACTCTATATGTATCAGAAGTAAGTGGTATTGTAAATTGGATTTTGCGATTACTATATCTACATACTATTACACAGAAAAGTAGCAGCGAAAACCAAATAATTTTGCCCCATAATCCTCTCAATGCCCCAGCCATCTCCAATCAGCTGGGTCCTTTCTTCTTCTGTCCTCATGAACAATCTGAACTTCTCTGCTCACTGTCTCTGGTGACCTCTGCATTCCACCCAGTGAGTGTTAAGTAATTTCCTTGTCTTATTCAAGGTGATCATCGCAGCTCTCATCTCCCAATGTCATGATTTCTCACCTCCTTCATCTGAGACAAAGCCCAAGCTGAACAGAGTGAGCTGTGGTCAGATCCTTCCACATAAATGCAGCCAGGATCTACTCCTCTGCTTCCCTAACCATCTGTCCCCCAAGGTTTAATGAACACGGAGAGGGACAAAAGGCACATCAGGAGAAGTTTCCCTCATCTGGGTGGAGTTTAGTAGCCATTTAAACACAATTTCTTTCCTCTGGAAGGCTACCACCATGACTGGTTTGGAGAAAGCACCATTGGTTGTCTAATACCTGAAGCCCCTAAAGTACGGCCTCCATGCAGCTATCTTGCTGGAGTTCCCACCCAGTATCCTCCACTCCTACTTTCTTTCTTTTTCTTTTCTTTTCTTTTCTTTTCTTTTCTTTTCTTTTTTTTTTTTTTTTTTTTTTTTTTTTTTTTTTTTTTTTTTTTGTGTTTTTTTTTTTTTTTTTTTTTTGTTATTGGGTCCTTGCGCTTGCAAGGCCAGCCACCAAACCGCTTAGCTAAATCCCCGACCCCCTACTTTCCATTTTTTTGCAGTTCAACATCCTACCCACTGTCTTTGGCTAACTTCAAGAGAGAGAAACAAGACCCCTATGACCTCCTTGAAGTCCCATTCCCTAGATATGTGGAGGTGGAGAGCATGACCACATGTACACTCAGCTGACCTCAAGCTGCTCTGAACACAACCCCTCTTGACTCTGAATTCCCCACACTCTGCAACATTAGTATATACCCTTTCATTGGTAAGTGGCCAGAGCTCACATGCCTGTGGCCCTTTGGTGGCATGCAAATGGGACAGGAGTACAGAGGCTATGTGAACAAGAACCACTTCAAACTAAAAGAAGGAAAACAACTTTCATTTTAAAGTTCTTTCGGGCAAAGGTTTTGTTGATCCACATCATTTCCCTGGATTTCTCATCATCCCCAATGAATACGGGTGAATGACTCTGATGGTGTTTTGGCAAAGGCCATCTCTACCCTGGTGTTGTTTGAGAAAATCCTTAGCTACTCTGCCAGGTGCACATCACATCTATGCCTTCCCAGTTTTTTCCCAATGAAAATGCTCAGCATGGTGTTGGAGGCCAAGTTGACTTTCAAGTATTTATATGCTTTCTTCCTGAGCCTCGGCTGGCATGTGGTGGGACTGACTTCAGAGCGGCCTTTGTCCATAACTGCTGGCTCTACAAATGGCTGCAGGAAGGAAACACAACAGAGAATGCCTGTCAAACTTGCTGGGATCTGGAATTACCTGTAGCACTGGACACAGCCTAGATGCCCATCAACAGCTGAATGGCTAAAGATAATGTGTTATGTATTCACAATGGAATATTATTCAGCCATAAAAAATAATTCTATTGTGTCATTCTTGAAAATGGATAGACCTTAAGACTATAATGTTAAGTAAAATAAGAGAAACACAGAAAGTTAAATGTGATACTGTTTCTCTTCTATAAAAAATCCAAAATATAAATATATCAATAAGTAAAATAGGAAAGATGGTAAGAAACAAAAGGTCAGACTTTTCAGAGATAGGGTAAAGGGATAAAAACAGGGAGAGGGAAGGTGGGAGGAAAAAAGGATCAAAATGATCTAGATATGTTACATACATAAACCAGGTCCCCTCAGTAGAATATGGTAATTTACACTAATAATAAAAACTAATACTAAGTGGGCCCAGAAGCCCCTCTGCACTTCAGGCACATACACAGTCATAAGAGTCAACTTTCAGGTAGCCTTGTGATCACAACACAGGTGTCAGAGTGTCCTTGCAAGGTTCTGTGTGGGATAGAAGGAAATAGATGACTGAACCTTCCTTGCATTCACAAGGAAGCACATGATCTAGGTCATATTTACAAGATTCAGCCTCACTTTCTTCAGTTATTACATGAGACTAAGTGGAGTGGCTAGTGTGGGGGAGAGCCGTGTATCCCCGTGTTATGGCTTGTGTCTAGATGTGCCCCCAAATTCTCATGTTGTAATAGGTGGGGCTTTTTCACAGGTGGCTGGATCTAGAGTGTGTGATGCTGGGATTAGGGCATGTGATTACAAAATTAGTCCACTTATTGGTTCAGCATAGTTCTGGGTGTCCTACCACAACTGTAGGTAGCCTAAATAGAATATAAAGGAACAGAAAGAAGCTTGCTCCCCTCTGCCTGCCATGGAATATTTCTCCTCTGTGATGCCCCTCTGCCATGCTACCCTGCCTTGGAGCCAGCCAACTATGGACTGAAACCTCTACTAACTGTAAGCCAAATAAACCTTTCCTCCTTTAATTTTGGGTGTCAAGAATTTTGTCTCAGCAACAAGAAAAGTAACTAAGGCACCCCATAATAGTTATTTCAGTTCTCCTGGAGGAAAGCACTCTGAAAATAAAAAGGTTTGGGGTAGGGCTCAGTGGTTGAGCACTTGCCCAGCATGTATGGAGACCTGAGTTTGATTTCCCAGGATTGCAAAAATAAAACAAAAACTAAACAAAACAATACACAGCTTTGTCCTCACCTTTGGCCCTCTGATAGCCTGCAAGAATCCTATTCTACCTCTGGGATAACACGCATCTGGGGAACACTTCAATCTTGTTTTTTGTTTTTTGGGGTTTTTTTGTGGGGGAGGTTTGAGGCAGGGTCTCACTATGTAGTTGAGACTAACCTAGAACTCACTATGTAGCCCAGGCTGGTCTTGAACTCACAGGATCCTCCTGCCTCAGCCTCCCGAGTGCTAGGATTACAGGGGTGTGTCACCACACCCAGCTTTTTTTGTTTTTGTTTTTGTTTTTGTTTTGTTTGGGGGGGGGTTGGCACACTTTAATCTTAACTATATAGTTGTTCTAGGTCAGAGACTCCTAAAGTACTATAGCTTCCAAGGTATGATAACCAATATTTCTGCAATTAAACTCACAATTTATGTAAACTGTGTAAAATAAAATTAGTAACTACAGGGTCATGACCAAGGTTGGATCCATAGATTGAGACCTAATTATGGCACTTTACCTAGGACTAAGTTCCTGATTGGAACTGGAGGGCAAAACTGCTGAGAACTCATCAGGGGACCTGTGGAGATGAGATGGATGCTGTAAACTCCTCACATAGAATGTCTAAGGGGGAGATTTTTCACACACCAGGGAAAACCTCTAAGGACAGGTAACTGATCTTCCTGTCCAGGGGAAAGTTATAACACAGTTCCATGCCAGGGTAAGATCTGTTTACTCTCATGGCACTTTCCACTCATCTTATTTAGCCCTGAACCAGGAGAAGTAGGGTGGCCATTGTTATTAAAGACTGCGGTTCCAAGGTTCCAAGGGCAATTGTGCATCACTGTGACTCTCTTGGGGCTCAACCAATCAGAATCTAGGTCTCAGAGTACCAGAGTGAGACACAGAGACAGAGGGCACTGACTCTCACTCCTTATCATCTCTTCAACTTCTCTTCCAGAACAAGCACAGTAGTCTCAGAGGTAAAACCCCCTGACATAATGCAGCATCTATTGGTGTCACTGTCCACCTCATCCAGCTGAGAAATCCAAACCCTGCTGAGTACCGGGGCAGGTTAGGGTCATCCATTTGTTTGAATTGGTAGACATTCATGAAGTGGGTAGGACCTCAGGATGTAGACACAGGCTTTCTCACTTCCAATCTCAGCTCTATGTCACCTTGGGAAATTTACTACCAGGCCTGGGGCCCAAACATTGACAACACAATGAGTACTTGCCCCTGGCCTTGGCACCACATCAGATTCAAACAAATTACTGCCCAAGGTTTTTTGGGGTGAGTCCTGGAAAGTTGTGGCAGTGGAGCTGGCAGACTAGTACAGACTTGTATGTGGGTGTGTGGGAGGATTCTTAAGCTATGACAGGCTCCATCTTCTTTTGCTATTGTCTAGCTCTGGGAACTCAAAACAGATCCTGCACCTCATGGCTTCCTGCTTTGTTTTCATTCCTCCGTGGTACCTGTAGCCCTTGACATTTGCTTTTGGGAATCTTGAATAGACCAGTTAGCAATTAGTTTCTGGCACTCAGTCCCTTCATTGGTAAGAGGTGTATAGCAGTTTTTCTTTAACTTTGACTTTGACAGATGCAGGAAGCCATGCAGAGAAGTCTGTGCCTTGTCCAAACTTGGAATAAAGGGGAACATAGCCAGGAGAGCAAGTAGTCACCATATAACACAATGGGTCCATTTGTGAGTCTCTCAGTAAGAAAAATTGGTGAGAACACACACGTTTAGTAATTGAAAAGGTGTCAGAGAAACAGAAGAGAGGTTTTGTACACAGAGCCATGTATGGGGCACAGTGGAAGAAATTAAAACATTGGCATTGTAAATGAGATCATACCCCAAAGCACATCCTGTGATTACTGCTGAGTATGCACGCATGTGTGTGTGATGACAAGGTGGCAATGAAGAGGCCTCTGGTTCCATCTGATTATCTGGGTTTCCTCATCCATTATTTCAGGATTTCTCAGTGTTGCTGTCTTCCTGAGGCCATGAATGTAGCCTACCAGTCATCAGTTATGTATGAAAGTCAATCAAAGGCCAGTCCCAGCACATCAGATGTAGACATGGAGGAAGAATCAAACAAAGAGCTAAGACCTCTTAGTCCCAGCACATCAGATGTAAACATGGAGGAAGAATCAAAGAGCTAAGACCTCTTAGTCCCAGCACATCAGATGTAAACATGGAGGAAGAATCAAACAAAGAGCTAAGACCTCTTAGTCCCAGCACATCAGATGTAAACATGGAGGAAGAATCAAACAAAGAGCTAAGACCTCTTAGTCCCAGCACATCAGATGTAAACATGGAGGAAGAATCAAACAAAGAGCTAAGACCTCTTAGTCCCAGCACATCAGATGTAAACATGGAGGAAGAATCAAACAAAGAGCTAAGACCTCTTAGTCCCAGCACATCAGATGTAAACATGGAGGAAGAATCAAACAAAGAGCTAAGACCTCTTAGTCCCAGCACATCAGATGTAAACATGGAGGAAGAATCAAACAAAGAGCTAAGACCTCTTAGTCCCAGCACATCAGATGTAAACATGGAGGAAGAATCAAACAAAGAGCTAAGACCTCTTAGTCCCAGCACATCAGATGTAAACATGGAGGAAGAATCAAACAAAGAGCTAAGACCTCTTAGTCCCAGCACATCAGATGTAAACATGGAGGAAGAATCAAACAAAGAGCTAAGACCTCTTAGTCCCAGCACATCAGATGTAAACATGGAGGAAGAATCAAACAAAGAGCTAAGACCTCTTAGTCCCAGCACATCAGATGTAAACATGGAGGAAGAATCAAACAAAGAGCTAAGACCTCTTAGTCCCAGCACATCAGATGTAAACAAGGAGGAGAACTCAAGCAATGGAGTAAAACCCCACAGGGTTTATAGTAACATCTTGCTCTACTTAATCAGTGGAAAGCTGGGAAGACCTAGAAATGATGTGGATCTGTCCCAGTGGGAGTGGATGATAATGTGAGAAACTCCAGGGGGAATGGGAATTTGCAAAAAGTCATGTGATTTACTTACTTATGTCTATTTAAATTGCAAAAAGATTAGAACAACTCCTCAAATGTTTTAACCATTAAAAATCTTCTTCAGCTCTTTGGGTTAAAGTGTATTTTCTGACACAGCATTCTTGGTTCACACTGTACAGGGAATACTATCCATCCAAATATTCCATGTAGAAGCTCTCAAACTCAAGGGTGATCATGATCTCATGACCCAAGCTACATATCACATCATTTTGTGGTTAATCTGAGAAATAAGTGTGTATGTCCAGCTCCTACAGAGGACTTGGCTGTTCAGTACAAAAGTCCCTTGGCCTTGCCATTTTTGAGAAGCACCCATCATGTTCTACTCTAAAACCTATTTGCTTGCACTGGTGAACAGACATCGTTGAAGAGCAGGCCATGGGATCAGTGGGGGTTTAAGATACCTTTTAATATCCCACAAAGGCTACAGAGACTTCCACATATGATGTCTCTGCTTTTTATCCCCAAAAAGGTACATTGCAAGGTCACTTTTGCCATGTTGAACAAACCTCTTCAGGCTACAGCCATTTGAGAGAATTCATATTGGCCCTCCCTGAAGCCAACCACAAGGCAAGAAGACCTGTGAGATGGTTCCAATCCTAAAAAGCTCTGTCCTGCCAGGGATGTAGCTCAGTGGCTGGTGCCTCACCTGCCTGGCAAATGCAAGGTCCTAAGTTCAATCCCCAGTACCAAGTGCTGTGGCTTGTGTCTAGATGTTCCCCCAAAACCTTATGTGCTCAAAGGTGGGGCTTTTTGGAGGTGGCTGGATCTAGGGTGTGTGATACTTGGATTGAGGGTATATAGTAACTAAATTGGTTTAGTACAGCTCTGGGTGTAGATAATGGAAAATTCACTCTGGGTGTGGGTGGCACCAATCAATAGGTTTGCATCCTGGTTGGAATATGAAGGGAGAGATGGAAGGCAGACTGCTGCTGCTTGTTGCTTGCTGCCTCCCACCTGCTCTGCTATGGACTGTTACTCCTCTGCCCTACCCCTCTACCATACCACCCTGCCTTTGAACTAGCCGACTATGGACTGAAACCTCTACAAATCATGGGCCAAAATCAACCTTTCCTCCTTTAACTTGTAGGTGTTGGGGATTTTGTCTCAGCAATGAGAAAGTAATTAAGACAACAATGGGAGAGACAGAGCAAGCCAAATACTCACTCTGAGAAACTGTTAATTGTAATTGTACCAAAAAATGGACGTGAAGAAACTAGAGGTAAAGCTGACAAGAAGAATTAGGGAGCCAAGAGGTGGGAGTAGTGAAGGATGTACAAGCCTAAGTGATGAATGAGATGGCATGGTCCCTGAAAATATTCTAAGTATCAATCTTGTCCTTTAAGGTGAGATACAAAATAAGCTTTCAGTAGCCCTTCCTCTTTATCCAACTTCTGAATCTTCAGGCTACATGTAGAGAGCATTTCTCCACCTCCTTGTCGCTCCTTCTGCCTCTACAGCTCTACATTCTCTTTCTCCCATTAGTTTGGTTTCTTCCTGATCCTTACTGTGTAAAAATTTAAACCTTCTATGTCTTCTCCACCCTCCTTTCTGTTCCTGTGCCTTTTTACGCCCATGCTCTGGTAAAGCAGTGCCAAAATACAGCCCCAGTTTGTCCTCAGAAGTGCAGGTGAGGCTATGAGACAGAGAGAGAAGAGGCATCTGAAGACACTTGGGCCCATTTTCCCTTTCTGGCCACACACTACCAAACCTCAGTGACAAAGAACAGGGAGAGCCAATGGTAAAGAAGCAGCAAGAGTATGAGAAGGAGACAAACCAGAAGAGCAGAGATCCAGAGAAGTAGCACCCTACATTCCATGCCCACTCAAGCACAGAGCATTTAGCATCGTGTGTGACATGAAACAGCTAGGGGAAATGGTCAAATGATCTCATTGAGGTAAAAGCAGTCAGCTCAATGAGAGGAGCTAAAGTAATAAAGTACAAGGAGTAGGCCATAGCTATATAAAGAGATCTGCCGTAGCATGGCAGAAGTTTCCTGTGGAAACTTCCTGTGTCACACTCTGCTGCACCATCTGAGTAACTGGTGGAAATGGCTTCACTTCCAGTGGTGAATTTTCCACAATATGAGCATGTAGGTGGTGTCCTCATCCTCCAGGCACTAGGCATTCACTTATTGGCTTATTCCACAAAGTGTGGCTACCTTCCATGTGCCAGGTGCTAGGGTTGTGGCTTTGAACACAAAAGAAAAATTTCCCAATGCCTTCATGAAATGGGGCTTTTGTTAAGACTCCTGCAAGGCTTCCTCACCCATGGCTTAGTAACTCCTTGGACAAAAGGGCAAGTGAGGGCTGTGGCAGCTCTGGGTCCTAGTAAAAGTCAACATCATAAAGCAGTCTCATACCCTGTTGGTATCACAAAGGAGGCCACCAGTGGATGTGAGGACTGTATTGGTCATGGAGTCCTTCACCTCCCATTAATTCTCTGGTGTGGCTGATGTGGAAGTGTGTTCTCTTGAGGGTAACAGCACATGATCACAACATTTAGGAGTGACTCAGTCATAGCCACTGTTTCCAGATGTCTTCCTTAGACTTGGGGTTACTTCAGCACCTGGGGTGCCAAATTTGTGGGGATGCATAGATTTCTTTCATCTTTTTATGAAGCAAACTCTTTCGTTTCCTAGGGAAGGCCAAGCAGAATCATATTTTGAGCATCTTTCCTCAGGAATATGTTGCCTCTGAGGCTCTTTCCATAATTTAAAAGGTGGGGCCCTTGTTCATCTTAATTGTTAAGGCTTAACACTGTTCCCCCTAAGTGGCACAAGGATGTAAGGAGCAATGAATTGCAGGTTGAGTCACAAAGGGTTTTTCTCAAGTAGAAAAGAAATTGCATGATAGTTCACTAACCTGCTACTATGGGTCCCCAAGGCTCTAGTTTCCTGAGGTAGAGAATTTCACTGGGATACTGGGAGTAGGGTATGGATTTGCTGATATTACATGCTGTCAGCTCTTTTTTGGACATATGCCTTGAACAGAAGGAAAGAAGACAATGATCTTCATAAAAAATGACAAACTATGGTCTATGGCCCAAATCTGGCCTACTCTGTTTTATTTTTTAAAAGCTTAGAGACATAATCTATGCAAAATGCAATCACTCATAAAAGTGTACTATGCAGCAATCACTAACCAATTTTACAAAATATTTGTTCTCTTTTTTTTTAAAAAAAAGTATCCATTAGCTGTAATTTCCTATTTGTATAGCCTGTTTTATAAATCAATTTTATTGCAACTTGGCTATATCCTTCATGTCCTTGTTGTCCAGGCCTGCTTTAACACCACAATGGTAAAGATAAGTATTTACAGAATAAAGTACATGGCTCCAAAATTAATCTACCCTCATTCATACCACTTGTGAACATAGTGTTCCATGTATATGCCTCTCCTCCCAGGGATTTTCTAGAGTGGTATATGGGTTGTTGGGTCAAGTATGCACATTGGAGCAGTGACAAGTAGGCTATTAATTTTCTCTGGAGAATAATCTAAGTCAGTTTTATCTGAAAACACACACAATCCAGGCCAAAACACATGTCTCAGGGCCACTTAAGGAGGGCCCCAATTCTGTATATCATCCTTGTCTTAGTTATTTTCTTTGTTGCTGGGATACAATACCCTAAACCCATGAAATAAAGGAGGAACAGTTTATTTTGGCTTGCAATTTGTGTAAGTTTCAGTCCATCGTCGGCTGGCTCTAAGGCAGGGCAGAAGGGCAAGCAGAGGAGAAGCAGCTCATGGCATAGCAGTGAGAAACAGAGAGATCAAGGGAGGAGGGAGGGAGATAAATCCTTCTAGGCCATGCCCCCAGTAGCCTGCCTCCTCCAATGGGGCTTCACCTCTCAACATCGCATATAGCTATAAATGCATCAATGAACTAATCCACTAATGAGTACCATGCACCCATGATCCCAATCACTTCCCCAAAGCTCCAGCTATAAACCCATGAGGCTTTGAGGAGACCAACTAGATATAAATGATAACAGTCCCTAAACACACTGTGGGTTCGGAAACTTTCAGCTTAGATCCACTAGATCTCAGAGAGGCTCATTTGGATCCCAGCGTGGGACACAAAGCAGCAAAATATGTTCAGGAGATAGGACCTACAATGCCTACTTGGATTCAGAGAGCAAAGTTGACTACAAAATGCTAGCCATAAAGAAGAGACCCCTGGTGGTGGTGATCAGTGGCTTCACATCCTGTTACAGGGCCAACTGCTAGGGTCATAGGCACAGTGTTTATAGCTACTTTAGTAAGAAAGTATGAATAACTCTCACTGGAAGGTAGGGGATCCTCACTACCCAGCACAGTACCTGCTGTCTATAAGTTCTCTGTTTCTGGGTCTGGCTTTCACTATGAGAGACAGGTTTCTGATTAGTTAAGACTCCTTTAGAAATCATAGGAAATCAACCTAAACTGGATGAAGGGGAAATATGGAATTTCCTGACACATAATTAAATAATCAGTTTGTGGTTAGTTTCAGTGGGCTCTTACATGCCCTTGCCATACCTCCATCACTGTGTGTGTGTGTGTGTGTTTATTGACACTATGATTTGTTCCAGATAGATCTTGTATAATCCCTATCTCAGCCTTGAAATCAGTCATTTTATCTATCAGGCTCTAGGATAATGAAAGGAATATGTGCATTGGCTTGATGGCCATAGAAGTCTCTAAGAATTGAGCTTAGGATGCTGATGCCCATTCCTCCTGGGAGATGGACATAGTCACATTCCCTAAGCTTTGAAGCTTTCTTATTAGAACAATCAAGAACAATTCAATAGAAGAGTCATAAGAGAAAGGGGCAAGAACGGAGCTGCTGAGACCGTGTTGCTGGGGAGAAGGACAGCAGGCCTATGGTGAGTAGAGAGGACACATGCAGGGATACATGTTGATGAGAAAGAAAGGACCATCTTCAAGTAATGAAGAGGGACTTGTAA